ATTTACGATGTCAATGTAAATATATATCATTACGCGATAATGAATTCTGAACAATGATCGCTCTATATACACTTACATGAACTTTTGATAGTAATTGCATTAACGATCTTTGCTTTTTATAAAACATGAAGAATAGATGAAAGAAATAAAACATATGCATGGCAATTTGGTTTTATCAGTTAAGAAATTTGAGAAGGCTTCAAGTATTTATTCTGAAGAAGTACCTACTGAAGAGTGCCCTACACTTTTCTTCTCATATTCTTTTTTATCCCACCTGGCCGATTAATTCCATCTCTCGATCTGTCGATAGAGAAGGGAAAGTTGATTAACAACGGTCGTACCTGCCAACTGACGTTTGTCTGACTGTGCAACCGGTCGTATGTTGTATTTTTATAATCTACATATGATTATTCAGTCTATAATTTCGATATATAGGTCAATGTCTTGGACCGCAATAAAGTATCAATCGTACTTCATCTCGTCCCAATCGCGCGGATGTTCTACTTTTGGTAGATTGATTTTTTTCCTCCCACCGTCCTTCCCTCTCTCTCTCTCTCTCTCGCCTCTTTCTCTTCCGCCCTCTCTCACTTATCTCGTTTTGTTGTCATTTTCGCGCGTCTCATTTCTTATAATCTACATATGATTTTGCGGGTCAATGCATCGCGCGCGCATACCGTAATAAAGTATCAATCATACCGCCTCATCTCTTGGACCGGCCGGTTCCACTACGGGATGCTGCGCACCGCGTGGCACCCAAGTGTGTTTCGCCTCGCGAATATGAAGAGTGCCAGCAGCCTGGTGACACACTTCCCCAATTCTCGTATTGTTCTTCATCCGCGTGCACGTACGAAATAAATCTTCATGCGATGGGGAGGGCAGGAATGAACGAGGGAGGAAGAAAAGGGGGCTGACTGGTTCCCCTGGCCTCGTGACCGGCTGGTAATTGCAATTGCTTTTCGTGGGAGGGCCGGTAGATAATTGATAATTAAGCGCGCGCCCTCCTTGCCCCCGGCAAAGAAGCTGAGAGTTTGGGAAGATGAAGGGAAAAAGGACGGCAGAGAACGAAAGACCAAATGTAACGATGCCATTTGGGACCGGATGCGATTGGCTGGCATCCTTGCTTTCTCATTACCGTACGTTATATTCTGATTCTTTATCCACTGCAATTTAATTTTTTTTATATATCAAATCAGAGAATGTAATCGTGTATATTTATTTCAATGTTCATTAAGTCTAATCTAGTTTAGGCGACGCTACTTTAGAGGCAAACACAAGGAAACTTTACTTAAATGGATCGTAAAATGACATTTTTAATTAATGCAAGTAAATATTAATCTTAACTATAGCGAGTTACAAATCGAATTTCTTTTCTGGAATGTATTATATGTCTCAATCCAATGCATATTTTCATCATCCGCGTTACGTCAATTTGCTGTCGGAAATTTCTAAAAATGTTTCTGGCAATCGGTCTCCGTCTCAATGACGAAGATTCAAATCGACATTGAAATTCCATTTTAGCGGGCTTATCTTAATTTTTCGACACATGTGCGCAAACAAGCAACGTGCGGACGTCAATACGCGCACGAATGTCTCAGAAACGGTTAGGATTGACGCTGGAAGGTCGGGTAACTTTTCTTATTTTTCCAAGAATAACGGTTTACGGTTAATGTGGAAAAAAAAGGAGTTGAAATGCGGGTCACTTCACAGAGTACTTTTTGTGACTGTTTTTACAAAAAAAATGCGCTACACGTTCGCGAGATAAATCTACGTTAACTTAAGCGACAAGATTAATAATATTATTAGCTGTACATACGCATAACCAGCAGACCGTAGTAGCGCTGCAATTAATAAATAACAACGATTTTTTCATTTTTAATTTGTTCATTTGCAGGTAGTATACTCGTGGATTCAATCTTTCCCATGTATACTGATCGTAACGTGCGAAATTAAGTGTTACAACGATATATATATTTCAGTTTATTGCCTTGATTATATTTTCCTCCATTCGAGACAACTGTCACTCGTTACACCAACTATAAATTGTTGCTAATCTTCCTTCTTCTTGTTCTTATCTAACCGGTAGGAACTCTATCGTTGTAAAATTACAAGTAATAATAACATTGTAACTCATTGTCAGTGGTAAGGCAATAATGCGGCGTCCTGCGGCACATCCAGTTGGTTGATGTCGCCTTTCGTAGAAACGTGCACGAACGAAAGATACGTCCTGGGATACCTATGCTGGTCTGTATTCGTAATTCCGCTTCTCAGACTAATTTATTATTACAGAAGAGTGAAAAGAGATTAAAGAATCTCTTTTGTAAACAACATAAATAAAAATACTTTGAAGTAAGAACTCGATTAAATAAGATTGTTTACTTTGCCGATTAAACAAAATGGCGGTGCTGGCGAAAAAAACGTTTTTTTTCAATTTAACGCTTTGTTTTTTTAGTTATGTCATTAATTCTTGCGGCACAATGTAGCACAAATCTAGCACAATTCAGCACAAATTTTATTTTATTTTTTTTTTTCAAAATGGCGGTGCTAACTTCACACACATCAATACTTCACATGTAAGTAATAATTTGTTCAGTTTACCATATGCGTGAGTCATAATGCTGGAATTCGAAGTTTCGGATACCTGCGTAGGAAGTATTCATTAGATCTCACGGGAAGCCGTTTATGCGGAACTCGCGGTCTTCTAATCGAGAAATACATTATTAGTCGACAATACCTGCTCTCTGTACGAGACATCAAGGCGAATAACCGGGGGATCGTTATCTGCGCCACGAACACGAAGAAACATAACTTCGTCGTCGGGGGAATCGTTGCTTATCCGGCGGGATGGCGTAGGTGTTAAAGCGTGCGGTTCTCGCCCACTTGAATCGATTTCGAATGGACAGCACGATCGTTTCGGCCTATCGTTCTGTTAACTGTCGCGTCGTTAAGGAGACCGCCCGTCGAAAATTATAGTCTACTAGTACATTTTTCTATCGGCATTTCCTACAGTGTTTAACAAATTTAAGAACTGTAGGAAATGCCAGTAGAATGTTACGAAACTTTCAAGTTTGCGAGATTATACTTGATACTTAAATTACTTTATTAAAATTGCATCTTTTTCAAAACTTTCTTTTTACATACACAAAGATTGTGCTTATAAATATATCCAGATTATTGAGTTTGTTTTATTAACGTTATAAAAACTTTTCGTATATATGTATTTTTTAAATTAATATATTAAAACACATAATTATATATTATATATATATGTATAAATTAAAAATGAGAACATTTACGTGTATCTTTAATTCAATTTATATATTATACATTGAATGTCTTACATGCTTAATTTCATTTTAAAACTGTTTTCTTTAAATTTGTCAGATAAAATTGAATTAAATATAAAGATATAATTACAGGTGAAATTATAAATGCAGATTGAATTGTCACATATATGCACTTGCTTATCTCGTGAGAAGACACGATATCAGTGAATAATTGTGGCTCATTTTCATAAAATTACGGGACTCGATGAAAAGTGCATTAAAGAGTTGCTTAATCAAGAGGCGTTCTGCATTATTTCATAACTGGACGAATCACGTCGGCGGCGCGGCGGGTTGCACAACTCGTCGTTGCCGCCGCGCCACGCCGATGCATTTCACGCGACACACGCGAACGCAATTCCGGCATCACGTTCAATTGCTTCGAATACAATCGATCAATAAATATTTATAAGCGACACGAGCATGTTTCGCGACGCGACAGATGCACGCCTGCCGACGTTTTACGTCGATGACGTCTGTTGGAGACTACAGACAGAATGATATGTATACGACATAGTAAAAGATTCAGTTTTTTTTATTTCCTAAAGTACGAAACGTTGAAATAATAATAAGCTACAGATTTAAGCAGTAATATATAAGTATAATCTTTTCGTAATCACAAGTATAATCTATTAAGCCGCTCAGAACTATTCCACCTCGAAATTCGATAAAAAGTTAGCACCCCATTTTTAAAAAATGTAAAAAAAATGTCTATTGAGCGGAACTCTTGTTATTATTAACTATAGGGAACTCTTCGTCTCGTCAAAAGAAAGTGGGAACTCTAATCAGAACTCCTGAGTACTATAGTTGGGGTGCTAACTTAACATACCCCATTTTTTGAGATTCTCTCTACAATCTTAAGATATAAAAATTTTGTAATTTTAACACTTGCAACATTCCAAAGATTTGTAGATCATGACTTACATTTATGACTAAATTTGAGTTGAATTTTTGTTTGAATGATAGCATAATTTTTTATACGATGCAATCAGCTTTAAAACTTTTTTTTAATATTAACGATACTCTGAAGACCTTATGTATGTTGTATAGAAGGAATGTACTCGCCGTTACTGGAGTTGTTGTGGCGCTTATTTACGAGCACGTTACACGCAATGTTAATTCGACAGATTTGATCATAAATAACGCCCATGTATACCCACACACACACGGACCAGGTATATATTTATCTCACTCTATAAAATTCATTCCCGCCGGATGTACCGCAGTTTAGGTGATGGTTGAAATTTATGAACGCAGGTTGTGGAATCAACGCGCAGCAAATTTTGAACGCGTTCGTCCAACACATATTTTTTTACAATCATTAAAGACAATTTTATACTGGTGCGCAAATAGATGTATTCTGATAGAAAAGCATTCCAAAAAGGCTAATCGTGCGTATATTTCGAGATGCAAAAGTTTCAAGCAAAATTCCAAGAATTTTTATTTAAATTTCTCGTCTTTCAACAATGTCGCACAAATGCGACTTTTGCTTTATATACCTATATAGAGCACGGAAGAATTTAGAAAATTCATTTCTACTTACCGAGCATCTAAAGAAATAGAGTGTGTCTTACATTCAAACGCGTTGGGATATCGGTAGATACGAGTAGATATACGTCAAATTAAATCCCATTCTTGACTGTCACATAGCGATCAGTCGTGTTCCATCGATTGTTTCAGGAGAATGGTTGTCTGTACTCGCATATACGGTGGGGCGAGGCCTTCGTCGTGGTTTACAGCGTGACATGTAAGCGGAGCTTTCAGGAAGCCCGTGGACTTCTCAAACAACTCGCAGATCTACGTCTGCCATCCTATTTCACCGCCCTTCTGCTCGGCAACAAAAGAGATTTGGATCATGCACGGTAAGCGTAAATCATACATTGTTAGAAATATGATTAACGATTTCGCATAAGGGGCGGGCGTGTATCTCTGGTAACATCTGATGACGATCTTCTGACTGATATACGATCAAATAAACCACACACATATGCATCGTAAAAACGGTATTTATTAATAAATCAGTAGCGGGGCGTAATTTTTCGCCACTTCATCGGCGCGAGAGAAGCCTTTCCGGTGTGTCTCTCGAAGCTCGTTTATCGCGTGTATTATATACAATTATAATTAATAATCGGTTTTTCTGAGGTATAATTTATTAGTATCTCTCCGAGACTTGCAGAATTCGATATTGTATTACCGTAGTTACATTTCAATCTGCTGTTGAATAATTGTTAATAGTCTACATGGTACTTGAACGCAGTTGAATATATTTCCCGTTTCCCGCGCACTAAATAAAAGTAAAAGAAAAACGATGCTCGAGTGTTCGTAAGTAATGTTGTGCTTACAGATGGCCCATTTTTACTCATGGCCTCGCAAGTCTGACACACTTTGTCGATTGTCGTCTTAAGGAGTTCTCACACGGTCGATGTTTCTATCAGTACTTGATATGTTGAATATTGATATACATATATTGAAATATATTTCTCTGATTTTTATGACAATAATTCATTTTTTTTTTTTTTAATCAAATCGGTTGAGTACACAACTTAAAAATTTTTAATATCAGATATAATGAAAGAGATAAGTAGAAAGTATAATATTTAGTTTGTATTATTTAAACAAATATTTATTAAAATTTAATATATTTGTCTTTAGTGTATGCTTCTGAATCCCATTCTCATGCAAAAAAAAAAAACGGTTTTGTTGAAATATCTAAACATTTAGTTAGATACAGATTTAATAATAATTTTGTTGGACCATTAAAATTATTATAGGAAACTCAAGCATTACGAGAACAATACTGTAAAACTGTTTTAAAACAATACTGTTTTGACATATTCTGGCAACAATCTTGAACGCCCTACATAATTACTTTGATGGTCCAAGTTATTTTTAAATCTATCTGAATTTTTAGACATTTTAGCAAAGCCAGTTCTTTATCTGGTTGCAAAACTCATTGGATTGCCCGATACGAATCGTATGAGGGCCGCTTAAGTGGCTCGCTCGACGCAAGAATTACAATATCATTTCGCGTCGCGCGATCGGAGATCGTGCGACACGGCTTCATGTATCGCCCTCGGCGGATCGTCGATTATTCGATCGTTCCTCTTTTTCTTTTAACATCGTATTTTATCCCAACTGATCGCACACGTGCGCGTATAGGTATGTGTGTGCCCGGCCTCTGTTAATCCTGTAGTTCACTTTCCACCTGTGAGTAACAGGATTCTCGCCGACTGTTTCCTAGACGGGGGATGAGATTTCGCGTGTACCACGCGATTCATATTTTTCCAGGCAGCTCTTTATCAGGTTGTCCCAGCATGAGTTTGTTATTTCTTCTTCTACATTCCTTCATCACGCTCACGTTGCTTACTACGAATTGCTTTTATGTCTCGCCAAAGAGGAAAATGAGATACTTTAGTCCTTCGTGTCCTAAAGTTGTAGTCCTTAAACACGCATAGAAGAGACTTACATAGATAAATAATACAAAATTTTTGAACGTCCAAAAATGTCTAAATTTTCTAAGCTATATGTATGTGGTTCGATATTATTAATTCTTATAACATTTCTCTCGCATATAATGTATGATGTATTGTACTTCGCGTCCATTCACGAACTATTAGGATTACTGAAAACTTTTTATATACGATGTTCTTGTTTAAGAAGTTCTTTTGCCTCGTGTGCGTGAGTTTCGTTTTTTTACCGGTACAGTGCGCGTTTTCGTAAAAACTAGTTCAATGAACCGAACGTTCGATCGACCACACGATGACGGTATGAGTTAATCGGCCGGCTGGCACGTCAATTCTGGCGAACGACTCATCCAAGTCGGTCAAGCGACTTGGACAGGTAAACAGATCTGGCGTGGCGAAATATCGCGCGAACGACACAACCACTACCGGACACCTCTCGAATCGGCGGTATCCGATACTGACACTGCGGTCTACGCTAGATGACACGTGTTACGTTTCACGGATTGCTGGCGAGAATCCAGCGCTTCGACAAATATGCTAATAAATGAATATCATATATGTCATCAAACTTATCGATCATAGTTTAGTTTGGCAAATGCAAAGATAATTAAGTGTTATATGAATTTCCTCAATTTTATATCATGTTCTTAGACAAATTCATGTATGTTATTAAAATTAAGAATTAGCAGTTTAGATTTCCGGTAATATTTAAGAATTCAAGAATTAAAAAAATTCTACTATCAAATTTATGAGATTAATTTTAATAAAGGAAATATCAATCTTTTGATTGATCGAATCTAATTTATATAGTGATAATTATCAATCTGATCGGTTTCTATAAAACAATGTAATTTCTTCGATGAATAACTTTAGTTATACATATATCAGATAAAGAATTGTGGATAAATGTAACTTGTTCAATAAGATGCGCGATACGAACAGGTGTGGCTTGCGTGCGGTTTCTTAGGCGTTAGTATACATCTTGTCGCATTTCATGCAACCAATGGCTCAAGTGCATCATCGATATTGCGTGATTCGGGCGAGAGAAAGCTAGGAAATACAAGTACGCGCCATTTTTGCTTATAACTTGTATAAAGACTCGGCTCGTTGGCTTTACTGAATCGGAATCATGTATCCGCTGCAGATAAATTAACAGGACAAATGATGGGCGTACGAATAAATATTCATACTTAATCAATTAGTTAATTACAAGTGATTATATTTTTCTTCTCAAGAAATAAATTTCTTTTAATAATAAAATACGCAATAAAAGAAATATTTACGATTTTATATACTAAATTATAATATATTAATATAGAATTTTATAAAATTGTTCAAGTATTGTCAATATAAAATTTTACACATATTTAAAATTAATTAGCAAAACTTTTTTGGAAAGAGAATTACATTTCTTTTACACGGTTAATAGTCGGAGATAATCTTTTATTCTGACTTTTTTTTAACGAATTGTCTTCATTATTATTTGTTATGTCGCTCACATCGTGAAGAACGCATCTTGATTGTTGCATTTGCGGAAGAAACACATAGATGAACAGAACTCTACTTGGTATCCCTTCTTCATCGGTCAGTGAGGAATTTCCCGCGCGATTCCCGCAGGAATGCGGATCGTCGTTAACGAAGACACGCTCCTTTTCTCGCCTTACGAGCCACCTTCTCTTTAGGTTGCCTTTATGGGGCTTTGCATACCGGGAGAAATCTCACCGATGATCTAGTAACGACGGCGGCGCCGCAATTACACACGCTTGATGCTACTATATAGGATGTTTGGAAAAAATATGCATCCGTACCGGGACTCCATTCATGAAGGAATTTGCAAAGCCGCTTTATCTTCTTCAAAATAAAAGTTGATCCAAGACTGAATGCGTAATTATACCGATTAAATACGATATATGTATATATACTTCAGTTTTGACTAGAAAATATTCTGTTCAATACGGAAAAAGAATAATTTTGTTGAAATATCTAAAAATTTAACTAGATACAAATCTGAAAATAATTTATTTTGATCATCAAAATAATTATGTGGGATACTTATAAAGTAGTTGCTAAAATATTACAAATTTTTACATTGTTATGTGAACGCTTAAGCAGTTTACATAATTATTCTCATTTTTAATACATAATTCAATAAAATTATTTTTAAGTATACTTATACATATATGGATAAAGTTTTAGATATTTCAAGAAAATCGTTCTTTCTGTGTACAATTTCTCGATCTATGATCTCCAAGGCTCGAAAAATGTATCGTTACAAAGATCCAAGTATTTCAAATTAGAACAATTTTATGAATCTGATCTTTTAAAAATGATACATTGATATTCTAAAATTTTTACTAAATATTACGTAAATGAAAAAAGGGATAAGTAGATTAAAATATTAATTACGATATACAATAGGATTCGAGGCACTTTCAACATTTGAACCTTTTAACCTCGGAGTCATCTTTAACGACGAAGATGATGAAGCAGAGATCGAGCGAGTTTTACTGCGAAAGACTTACACAAGTATAATCGAAGTAAATAAAGTATCGTGCATTCGCTGGGAATTTTGCGGAGAGTTAACAAAGGGAAAGACGATGGAGTGTCTCGATAGCCACGGGCAAATACCAAAAATGTCACACAAATAAAATGTCACAGACGATGTTGCAAGCGAGCGATTGGCCGTCGATTTGCGACGCGATTGCGGCACTAGCGGGAAAAGAGCAATAAGATTTACGTAACTGGCATTTTGATGGCATGTAAGAGATACACGCTCTTCGTAACTGTCACGATTATCGTCGAGAAATTTAATTAAACCGGAATTATTCGAAAGATCCATCGATCCCCGGGTCATAAATTACAGCGTGCTTCTCCTTGCGTGTCGCATGCAGGGAAATTGATCAAGTTTAAATTAATCTTATCGAGTGTGACGCTACTTTACGTGTGAGATCACGAAATAAAATAAATTGCGTTAAGAGGCGTATATGTTATTTTTTATAAAATTCTTAAATTTTTTTAGGTATACATTATTTTATGAGAGAGTTCAAAATAATAATGATTTAATTTTATGAAGAGTAAAATGTTTAATTTATGAAATGAAAACTTATTGAAGAGGGATAAGCAATTTAGTAATGTTATTTTGGATCATTGTAAAGTTAAATTTTCAAACTTTTAAACGAAGAAGACGCGCGAAAATCGAACTCCGGGAAGATCCGATATGTGAGGTGAGGGAACCGCGTCGTCGTCGTACATAGCTTCTATCCGGTAGCCACGTTCGTCGTCTTAATGGAGTTCATAAAGATTAGAGTGAAGTTTGCTGCAGGGCTGGTGAGTCCACTCTCCACTCTGAGAACAAGTTTTCGCCGCTTTAGTCGCATCCAGAGAGCCTGTCGCGTCGTTCAGTCGCAAATATTACGCATCGATAACGCTTATCTCGAAATATCGCGACCGACAATTCCTCGCAGCGAGGTGCGACAGACTGGTTCAGGAAGTGTCACTTCCGTTTTGATTGAATCTCAGTTTGTCAGACTCTGATTTTATTGATATTTTTGAAAAATACTTTAGTATTTTTAAGTATTTTTAGATTTAAAATCTTTTTTTCCTAAGCTTTGTCGTTAGAAATCTCAAATATTTGAGAAATTTCTGTCATTAAAATCTCTTGAAACTTTTTGATTTACAACTTGAAACACGCAGCTTCTTTTCTTCTCCACAAATCTTCGCCATCCTTTCACATACCATTTTTATGGTATATTATCCGATTAAGTGTATTGACGCGTTTCTTGTCTCAGAATACTCATCGTAAATATTTCATCCGTCTACTGCGAATTGAGAAAGAACGCGGGAACGACAGAAACCAACACCCGTTGCTCGTAAACAACGATGTGGGGGGGGGGGGGGGGAAAAATATTAACGGCCGCGAGTGTGGCACGTCGGCTTGTGCACGATCGCGTCTAATCGCTCGGCCTCCCACATGCCCTTTTCTCGACGCGCGCCCTATGAAGATCACGTGTTCTTATACGAATTTAATTGTCTTCATAAATATCAGAGTTCGTCTACCCCACACGCAGAACTGCGCTCTCTGTAATGGAAATATAGGGATGCCTCCTTTCTTCCGCTCTCTTATCTCTTTCAAGCATTTTAAGAACTTGGATCTTTTAGTCTGCATTTTTTTGTTAATTAAAATGCACAAAGCATCCTGCGGTTGATCGTTGATCGTCGAATTACTTGAAAATCGATTTGAAAAGTCAATAATGTAGTACTTGAAATTTAGATTAATCTAATGTGTTGAAACTTTTTAAGTAATAATAAGATGTTAAATTTATTCAGTTCTTGCAATATCTTAAGCATATATGATATATTATAATTATTAAAAAAGTTTTTTAGCCCCAAGAATTTTGAAAAATTTAAAGTTGTAAGTTATTAGAATAATTTCATTTATTTTAAATGAATTTATGAGGGTATGAAATGGCTTAACTTTTAAAATGATTTAAAGAAGAATAAATTTATGTTTAAATAATAAATTAAATAATTCCATAAATACACCATATATTCTTAAATTCTACTTTAAAGCTTTTTTACTCAATACGGCGTGTACTATCCACCATGTAAAAGCTGAATGTCTTTTTTTATTACACCGTGTATAACTGTACAAAAATATATAAGACAGTTTTAACAAAGCTCTTATTAATCCTAAGATCATAAATATCTTGTGGCGCCGGACGTCTCCATCCTGGTGAAATTTTAGTGACTCCGCTTCCTTTCATAAATGTATGGTTTTTACGGTCGCCGTTCAATCACCTCTCTTCACGCGTCTGGTATTTGCCAAACTCATGTAGCATCTGTCGTCGTCGGTTCGGTATGTTCTGCAAGGATTTAATTTCAGCCTTGGACGATTTCATTGACTTGGGGAAGCGCAATGTCCGCCAATAGTATAAATCTGCGAATGCCTACAGCATCCGGTCCGCATTTCCGCCGTTCCCGATCGATGTTTCAACGCATGGTTCGAATGTTTCGTGACATAAACCATTCCTTGTGAATCATACGAAAGTCTCTGTAAAGTTAGCACCTCAACTTTAAAAATCGGAAATTTTAATAACAGTACTGCTTGCACCCGCAATAGTTCTAGAGTTCCTGATAGGTTTCATCAATAGTACTGTTGATTTAGGCCAAAAATTTTAAAAAATAAAAATATGCGGTGCTAACTTCGCGTGGCACCGCAAGATTTGAAAAAGCCGATTTTTATGACGGAATCTCACAGTACTCGAAGAGTACTACAGTTCCTGATCGATTATAACAATAGTATCGGCCATTAAATATTTTTAAATAAATTTTTTAAAAGAGAGCTCGCACCTCAACTTTCAAAAAAATTATTTTTTTGCGCCATTTTGCGTCAGTACTGGCTGTTTAGAGGCATTATACTCTTGTCGTGTGGTGCCAGCGGAAAAATTTCAAGTTTAACAATTTTTGGTTTTTAATATAATAATATATATGTATATAGTAACATATTTCAATTAAAATCTACTGTGTTTAAACGTACAATAAGTTTGGAGAAATTGAAATTTAACTCTATACGCGCAGATCCAGTGGACTCGGAAATTTTTTTAAACTACTGTGAAAAATTGTTTTATAACAAATATTGTTTACAACCTTACATAATTTTAAGTTATGTGAGCTTAGTTCTCGGATTTTTACGTTTAAAATAAAAAAAAATTTGTTTAATTAATTTTAAGTAAAGATATATTGATTTAAAGTCTAGAGTGGACTTGCAAAAACTAGTTAAAAAAAAAATTAACTCGAAAGATTCGAAATACCAAGAACATAATTGGAATCTTTTGTTAATATTTTGATATGACTCAGAATGTCCGTAAGTATATTCTTGACATTTTGAATCTCTTTCTTTTAATCTCGGACATCTTGAAGGTGCGCATTCCGTTAAAGAAATTGTTAAAGATCAATAATCGTTTTTGTTACAGAGAAGTGTGCGTGGACGAAGGTCAACAGCTCTCGTTGGCGCATGGATGTCAGTTTTATGAGGTGAGCGCCGCGGAGAGTCCCGCGGGAGCGGCGTTAGCCTTTCAGGCGCTCCTGCGGGAGGCGAGATCGGTCCAACTTCTGCGAGCGTTGCCGATCCGCAGAAAACTGGGTGTACATTCAGTTTCGAGAGTCCTCGGGACAATCTTCGGCAAGAACACCACCAAGGATCGTAAGAAGAGGCCGTCGTTAAGTATATGACGCCTTCTATGCGCCCTCCTCCTCGGAGGACGAGATGAGCCAGGCAAGAGAACTGACATCGTCGTCCTCAGCAGCAATGTTTACTCCAATCGCTGACGAAGTCTTCAATAAGAACGTAGAATCTCCCTTGTGCCTTCCTGAAGAAAGGTGGTCATCACTAAGATCCAAAGACTCTTCTCGGTTTTGGAAGCGTCTTTTTCACGAGAGAGCGATCTTTTTCTTCAAGCGAAGAAGTATATATGCATTTGCTATAATGGCAATCAAACTGCCGAAGTTCTGAAGCATATTCGGGGAACTAAAACTCCGAGGACGTAAGACTGATTTTCTGGCTTTGAAGATACGCAGGATCCAAAGTGCGGTACATTCTGGAAATCTGATGTGCAGAGTATCTAAAGCTCCTTCTAACATCCGGTAACTACATGAAAGATCCAGATTCCGAGAAGGTTCCAGTCATGGAGGGCGACAATATTCATCTTTAAAAAAAAACTGTTTTATTTCCTGAAGAAGGATGTTTACGTGGTGTTCGTGTGTGATCCTGCTTTTGATGGCGGGAGAAAAGTGAGTAGATTCAGAGATTGTTTGTGATATGCAAAAATACTTTTTTAAATATTGCAATATTTCACGGTGATTACAAGTGACTGGCAAGTTGTTCCTGAACGACGTAGTCTTTAGAATGATCTTATGATTGCGAATCGCCCCGCAATCGGTTCCGCGAGTGCAAATTTTATAATTTTGGGATACATAAAATACTTACACATCTCTTGGTGTTTAAGTTATTATATTTTTAACCCTAAACAGTACATATGAAACGTACTTTTAAATTAATGACTTTAATAAGCTTTTATAATTTAATAACTTTAAATATTATTTTTTGATATTTATAAGTCTTCTAAATTTTTCGAAAGATTTCTGAACATGATTTTTGAACTCACAGAGAGTTTTCGTACTTTTATACATTTTCCAGCTTTTTTTGTTAATCATGATTTCAAAATTGAATATTGTGTCACGAGAATAAGATACTGTTTAGGGTTTATTTTTTTCTTTTAATGCTCCCAAACGAAACCCGTGAGTCTTTCAAATTTCGATATTTCCACCAAAAGTGGAAAAGATCGCGATTCGATTCGATTTTCTGCCTATCGCCTTATTTATATCTAGAAGATGTTCGCAAGCGCTTTCATTGAGAGCAACTTCAACACACCTTCGCCAGGCGTGATTGATTCGATGACTTTAATGTTCCTAAAGAAAGTAGCCTAAGTGTAAATAGCGCACACATTCACTTATATACTCTGCGGAGAGTCTCGGAGATTTAAGCAATCACTAAGATTTGCATACGAAAGAGGAGAAATGAGGATTATGCGGATGTTATTCAAATATTTACAATTAAAGATTATTATTTGATTTGTTTATTTGATCTGATAATCAACAATGTTATGATCGTAAAAAAAGAATATGAAACAATACAAATTTGAATTTCAATTGAAGATAAATTTTGTTATTTTATTGCAATTTACATTTGGTTTTTCATAAATTAGAATGAACGATAAGGTACGGCATTATAATGGTATAGTGAAAATAATAAGATGTGCTTATTTCTCGAACGTATTTTCATCCGTTTTGCGCAATGTAAATAAAGTTTTATTAAAAAAATTTCAAATTAATTAAATTGATAATTTATAACTTGTACATTTTTTCAAAAAATGACACATTGTTATCACACTCAACTAAGTTGAGTGGGAACAGATTAAATGAAAGAGAAAGTAATGTAATTGTTTATACAGTCGTTACATGTCAATTAAAGTTTTATTACTGTATACAAAATAAATTCACTAGTCCTAAAATCAGCATTTTAGCATTTTGCGTTTCTTTGTTTGAAAATCTTCCCCGTTAGAAATTATTCGAGATGGCGACGCTCTGTCATTGGTCAGTAAAAATGCTTGCGCATGAGTACACCTTATTATTTCCATCATGATTAATGAGTTAAAAAAGTATTAACGATTGTGAATAATTGTCGTACTGCATTCGTCAGTGATGATAGATTGAGATTATCATCTACTCTATTGTAAAAAGTGCTAATTGTTTACCTTTTTTTACTAATCTCCTCAATCGTGTGCAATGTTTTGTAAATCTTTTTTTTCTGCGGCAAGCATAGAGATTATGATCGACTTTTGAGGTTTGTAGTTTACAAACATTTTGAAAGTGCCTTCCGGATGATGTAAAGTCCATTATACTTTTTTGCCAACAGCTGACTTTTTGAAGCGAGTGTTAACGAAGAAAAAAAAAGTAATAGTAACTCTATTTACATTACGTTTAAGAAAATGCAGTTAACATATGGCATGATTCTTTTTTAGCGCGTCAGTTTCTAGCAGAGAAAGACCGTAAAATACCTATATGGACTTTTAAAGCTGATTTTCAATATGCCCTTTGTTTCCTGTTTCTTGCTTTTTTGCCTCTTATTCTTGTTTTTTTTTCTTTTTCTGTCGCCTGATATAAAAGTTCTCGAAATTCGGAAGACAAGAAATAATTGATAAAATTGCAAAGAAAAAAGGCAAGAGGTATAAAACAAGAAACGAAAAGCAAAGAGCATATTATGCACTCGGTGAAGCTAGGTCTCTTTCTTCACGATACATTCCACTTGAAATTAGGGTCCCTCTTATATGTGCGTATGTGTATGTGTGTGAGTGAGAGAGTGCGTAATTCGATTTCAGGCAGATGTCGATCGCTGTATTCGAAGTGCTAGTCACTTGTTATCGAGAGAGGATAATAATAAAGAAGCGTCTTTTGTTAAATCCCATCAAATTGAACTCCACCGCCCTATCGCCTATTTCCCATCCACACCACGATGTGAGTCATCGACGTTCATCCTGGGTAAGTTATTTTTGAGATTATTTTATATTTACAAATTTTTATATTTTTACAAATGCAATTACATGTGAAGAATATTATTATATGTTCTAAAATCTCTCAGTGTTCTCACATATTTTATCAATTTATAAATGTTAATTAGTATTATTATAAAATTAGCGTGTCATTATATTATTTTTTGTCATTTACGAAATCCGAGGGGCGTCACGCTCATAGATTTCACAAAAAGTCGGTCGAGCAATCTGACAAGTGAATTTAGCGAATTTGTTAAGCGAATCCGCTGTCGGCTGAATAACTAGCGATTCGGGTCAAGGTTTTGGGTGCAGCACGTGTTTACTCGTCTCTGTCAGGTCGCGATACAGAAATAAAATACGGCTCCCCCCAGGGTACCCGATGTATGCATTCTCTCGCAATGACGGCATGATCACTCGCGTGTCGACGGAAAAATGCAAAAAGAAAGGGTAGTGATGCAGGAGCGATCGCTCAACGGAAATAAGGGATCGAATATCTCGTAAGAAATGTGCTGAAAATTTTTGATGATGACAATAATTTCTAGAGAAAGAGATAGAGATTTTAACGACGGTATTACAAACTAAACGATTAAAGAATTGTAATGTATCTATCCAATGTCTGATTAGAAATCGTTCATGTCTCATTATAGATGAGAGGACCATGCGGAAATTTTTCGCATACTTCGGCGTGAAATGACATTACGAGGTGATAAGCGAGTACAAGGGTTCAAACCTGGTCGGGTTTTAGATTTCCGAGTCGAGTAATCTAAGTCTAAGCGTTAGAGAATTCCTTGTAGGCTGCGCACTTCTCATATTACCTTGCGTCCTTTATATCCGTTCCCTTTCCTCTCCGGATACTCTCGCTGCCATCTCCTCTCATCTACGATCTTCTTGCTGTCTTCCTCGAAGACAAATGATCCGGCTGTACAGGTAAAACGATGCCCTGATGTTGTCGATTTATCGCCACGGGTGTCGCGACGCGTGGGGACCGTGTCGTTCGAGGACTATATTGGTTCGCCCCGAGCCCGGATAATTTCAATTTGCGTATTTCACCCGGGAAATCGAAACCTCGGGCCGAAGTCTTGGAACTCTCTCCTGGTACATTGAGTCGACTAAACTGATTTTACTACGCTTAAGAAGCTAAATGAGAGACGTCACAGTTTTCTTGTTGCATTAACACTAGAACGCTTTGTCTTATTCACTGAAAGAATGAAATAAATAATTATTATAAAAATAAAGAAAAATATTTTATCAAGAGAATTATTGAAAAATAAAAATATTTAGAATCTTTTGTTTACGCAAGAAATATACATATATTAATGTAAAAATAGAAACGGTCCAATAATAACTGTTTAGTATTTTTAATATTAAATGTTATCGTTTTTTTATATTCTAGATATTTTTCTTAAAAAAAAAAAAAAAAATCAGTCAGATACTTTATAATAACCTATAGCAATTTTGGTTCGAAACTTTTGCAAGCTTTAATCTTGCGTTGATTATATGTTTTTTCTTTACGATTTTTGTGTCTTAAGGATTAAGGTGAATACCCAACCATAGAAATTTTTTACATTTAATATTGCTTCCCCCCTCTCCCAATAATTATTACGATTTAATTTTAACAAGTACTAATCAAAATTTTCTACATTTTTTTAAATGTAATTTTTAAACATTTTAAATTTTTAAACAAGTTCTGCTAAAGAGATATAGTATTACTAATATTAATTAGTCCTTAAGATTTAGGAGCGTATTAAGAAAGTACCAAATTAATTGGATTAGAATTTTATCGTGTGTGCATAGTGTTAACTGAGTGGGTGGTGTTATTACTCGTTAATGAGTGTAATTTAATCCAGCGCGCTGCGCGCGATATCACCGATAGCTATATATCGGGTTTATCTCGAACTGCACCAGGGAACTGCTGTTTGCCGGTAGCGTAATTCGCGTGCACGTGAAAAATCGATGGGTCGTGCGCCAGTATTAATCAGCCTGCCTCGCTTTCGTCTTAGTTCGCCCGGTTTAATTAATAGCGCCATTGGCGACAATTAGAAATTCAGATTCATCCGAACATACGAACCCGCAGGGCCAACAATGACCATTTGCTGACTGCAATCCCGGAGGCCGACTTTCGAC